ACCTGCTGCCCAGCTTCGGCACCGGGATGGACCACAGCTACTCCAGCCCCCACAGCCCTGCATCCTGACAGTGCCTGCTGCCTTCCCTGCACTGCCTGCCTCCTTCCCGCTGGAAACAGCCTCCCCCGGCCTCATCATGGCTGCCAGGGTAAGGGGCCACAGTGGGGGCAAGGAGCCAGCTTGGCCCCCACAGCCAGGCTGCTGGGTGGCACTGGCCGTGGCACTGGGTGCACAGGGCTGGCTCTACACCATGGCACCTGCTGTGCACTGCAAAGCACTGGGAGAGGTGCTGGAAGAGGGCCTGGCTGTCACAGGGACACCCTCATGCCTCCCCCTCTGCACGCTCAGGCAGGCTGGGGGCTGCCTGGCATGGGCATGGGGCAGTGCTGCCCACAGCAGACATAGCTACAGGATGGCTCTCCCACCCCTGGAGAGTCAGGAAGGGGAAATGAGTGCATTAAGCAACCTGCCTTCACGTTCTGCAGCCACCCTGCTCTCTTGTACAGACCCAACACTTTTTACAGTAAAAGCACTTAGTAAAACCCCAACCTGTGTCTTCCCTGTGAGCCTGGCAGCATGCTGGACCTCTGGAGAGGAGGGCAGCGCTGGGCTCTGCTCTAAGCCAGGACAGCCCCAGCCAAATCAGCGGTGGTAGTCGATTCTTTAATGATAATTACATCTCAGAAAGGGTCTAACAGCAGCTGATTGTCAGACTTGTACAGTTTCCTTAAAAATATAAAATCTAAGGAGGCTCCTATCTGTTCTGGTGCAGACACTGCCCAGCCCCTCACACATACTGCTTCTTCTTGGTGGCTGCCTTGCTTGCCAGGTCCTTGGCTTTCTCCGTGGCAGCCAGAGCTGTCTCCTTGGCTTTCTCGGTCGCTTCCTTGGCTGTCTCCACCAGTGTTTTGGATGGAGCTTCTCCTAGAACATGGAAGCTGTTAACCCAGCCCTGGCAGGTCCCTGCCCTCGGGAGTGCTGGCTTGACCGGCCCTGCCACCTCAGCACTGAGGCACTTCCCCACGCAGGGAGGAAGATGAGCCCAGTGCTCCTGACCCCAGCACGTCAGGGCACATCATGCAGGGGAACCACAGGCACGTGACTGCAGCCACGCTACCTCCCCTCCTGCCTGCACTCCGCCCCTGCCCATCCCTGCAAGTGCTGCTGGGCTACTCTGCTTGGGAAGAGTGGGCTGTGCCAAGACGGGGCAAAGGCAAAGGGTGAGGATTTCGCAGTCCGATCAGTTCAAGCTGCAACCTGCCCGTGGACTGGAGTGTTCCCAGTGTGACCTCTAACTCCAAGAGACCCGTCCCGGTCAGCCCCAGGTTGCCCTTGGTGCCCACCTTGCATTCTTGCTAGCACGTATTCAAATCCCTTAGTGCTCTTGGTCACGTTGCTTTTGAACCTGGCCAGACCAAACTCCTGCAAGGGAAAAAGACAGTGAAGGTACACGCCCAGTTCCCTGTCACACACAGCCCCCAGGGCTTTGTCCCACTGTGCAAAAATTAGTTTGGCATTGATGGTTCTGGGTGCCCCAAGAGAATGAGGGGAGCAAGGAGGAAAAACCAGCACAAGGAAGGGGTAGAGCAGTGGGAGCAGCAGCTTAAAGTCCTCCACAGAAAGGGGGGATACAGCCTGCTCAGCAGCTAGCAGTGCTCACCTGGATGGCCCGTGAGACACCAAACAGGCTGGAAGTTATCCAGGCTTCCCGCTTGACCTCGGTCCAGTTGCTGTTCTCCGGGTTCACCCGGTACACACAGCGCTCCTCCACCACCTGCAGGAGGCACAACCTGGCTGTGAGCACTGCTGGGGCCCTTCCACCCCGTCCTGTGCCCACCCACCCACAGCACCTACCATGAGGCGAGCATGGTTGATGTTCCAGGTGAATGTGGTCATGGTTCGGTTCTTGGGGTCCACGATAGAGTCCTCCAGGATGTACACAGAGTGGGCGACATTGGCTGGGAAGAGGCGCTCGGCCCAGCGTGGCATCCGGTTGGTCTTGGTCAGGAGCCGCCGGGAGAGCAGCTTGTGGTCCGGTGTCACCTCCCGGTGCACGATGTCTTCAGTCAGGACATGTTTGCTAAAATGGGGAAGAAAACATCAAGCCCTGCTGCTGCACAGTCTTCCCGCGAGGTTGGAAACCATCAGACACTGCGGGATTAAGGGAGAGGGGGAACATGATGGGCACTGCTGGTGCAGCACACCCATCCCAGCAGGCTGGAGGGGGCGAGCAGAGCCCCCGCGGGACCCTCAGGGAAAAGGCTGGGCTAGGGCGGGGACACCATTCCCAGCTGTGACTAGGGTGGCAGGCAAAGGGCCCCGGAGGAAAGGGCTGAGTTAGGGAGAGACCACCCCCAGG